CCATCCATCCATCCATCCATCCATCCATCCATCCATCCATCCATCCAGCCAGCCAGCCAGCCAGCCAGCCAGCCAGCCAGCCAGCCAGCCAGCCATCCAGCCAGCCATCATCTTCCACTAGTTCCAAAGTCAGGTCTCGGGGGCAGCAGCTTGAGCAGGGAGGCCCAGACATCTCTTTCCACAGCCACCTCTTCCAGCTCTTCTGGGAGGACCCTAAGGTGTTCCAAAGCCTAATGAGACATAGTCTCTCCAGCACGTCCTGGGTCTTCCCCGGTGGCTCCTCTCAGTTGGACATGCCCGAAGAACCTCCCTAGGGAGGCACCCAGGGAGCATCCTTACCAGATGCATGAACCACCTCAACTGGCTCCTCTTGATGTGGAAGAGCAGCGGTTCTACTCTGTATCTTCTTCTTTTTCTTCTTCTTTCGGCTTTTCCCTCTTCAGGGGTCGTCACAGCGAGTCATCCTCCTCCACCTCACTCTGTCCTCTGCATCCTCTGTCCTCACTCCAACTACCTTCATGTACTCTCTAACTGCATCTATATATCTCCTCTTTGACCTTCCTCTTTGTCTTTTTCCTGGCAGCTGCATTTCTAACATCCTTCTACCAATATACCAATGGTCCCTCCTCTGGACATGTCCAAACCATCTCAGTCTGGCCTCTCTAACTTTATCTCCCAGTTTTTCAACCTGGGCTGTACCTCTGATGATCTCATTCCTAATCTTATCCAGCCTTGTCACTCCTAAGGAGAACCATAGCATCTTCATTTCTGCCTCTTCCAGTTCTTTCTCCAGTCTTTTTGTCAATGCCACTGTCTCCAGACCATACAATATAGCTGGTCTCACCACTGTCTTGTAAACTTTTCCTTTGACCTTTGCTGACACTCTTTTGTCACAAATCACTCCTGAAACTTTTCTCCATCCATTCCATCCTGCCTGGACTCTCTTTTTCACCTCTTTACCACATTCCCCATTTTCCTGGACAGTTGACCCCAAGTACTTGAAGTCCTGCACCTTTGTGACCTCTGCTCCTTGTAGCCTCACTGTTCCATCGGCCTCCCTCTTGTTCACACACATGTACTCTGTCTTACTGCGGCTGACTTTCATTCCTCTTCTTTCAAGTGCATACCTCCACCACTCCAAGTTCTCTTCCACCTGTTCCCTGTTCTCACCATAGATCACAATGTCATCTGCAAACATCATAGTCTATGGGGATTCTTGCCTGACCTCATCAGTTAGTCGATCCATCACTAGAGCAAACAAGAAGGGGCTCAGAGCCGATCCTTGATGCACTCCCACCTCCACCTTGAAGTTATCCGTCACTCCTGCAGCATATCTCACCACTGTCCTGCTGTCCTCAAACATGTCCTGTACCAGTCTAACATACTTTTCTGCCACTCCAGATTTCCTCATGCAGTACCACACCTACTCTCTTGGCACTCTGTCATATGCTTTCTTCACTGCATCATGTCAGCCAGCTCTCTAGGGAGCACAAGCCAGTGTATCTCTTGGGCCAGTCCCAAGTCTGGGTAAATGGTGAGGGTTGTGCCAGGAATGGCATCCAATGTAAAACACTTTTACCAAAAACACAATGCGAGTTCATCAAAGCAGTTCTACTCTGAGTCTCTCCCGGATAACTAAACTTCTCACCCTATCTCTAAGGGTGAGTCCAGCTACTCTGCGGAGGAAACTCATTTCAACCATCTGTATCTACAATTTCATTCTTTCATTCACTACCCACAGCTCGTAACCATAGGTGAGGGTAGGAACTTAGACCGGCCAGTAAACAGATAGCTTTGCCTTACAGCTCAGCTCCCTCATAACCACAACGGACCGGTACAGAGTCCACCTTACTGCAGACATTGTACCAATCCATCTGTCAAATCTAACGTTCCATTCTTCCCTCACTCGTGAACAAAACCTGGAGATACTTGAACTCCTTCACTTGAGGCAGAACCTCACCCTCAACCTGAAGAGAGTAATCCACCCTTTTCTGACAGGAGATGTTTTGTGAAAAAGGGTTTTGGATTAAATTTTAGGTTTTATGACTGTTGAGTCATAAATTTTCTCATAAAAATAAACAAGCTCTGGTTTATTATTAGAATATTTTGTATACTTCATGTACAAATTATAGACATGAACAGAAAACGTATTTACCTTGATGGTGTCCAGAGCCAGCTCAATCACAGCACACTGCTTGGGCGTTAAAGCTTTGGCCTCTTCACGAACCATATGCTCCTAAACAGAAGACAAACAAAATACAATGACTAATCTCTCAATTGATAAGCTTCACGTCTACTAGATTAAAGCCTCAGTTTGAATCAGCGGAAAGAGGCCAGAAGAGCATAACTGAATAGGAACACACTGCACCTTCAGCTTAGACAGCTGTCCGAGCTCCTTGGCAGCGTTGAAGATGAGCTGAGTGCCCTGAAAGAAGCAGAAAGGAAGGAAAAAAGAAAGTAGAGAGGTAGAAAAAGCAAAATGAGAAGAACATTGTTATTAGCATGATCAAACTACACGATAATGGCTTAATGTCACATAAAAGACAGCAAGGTTTCTGACAAACACACACACTCATAAACAGCTGCTCTAAGCTGCTTTACAGATGTCACAGTATTTTTTCTTCAAAATTTTCTATCATATTAATTTGTGTTTTTGTCATTTTACATTATAACACTCTTGCACACACGCACACACATACACACACACGCATGTGCCAACACATGCACGTGCGCACACACATTTAGACATTATAGTACAAAGAGAAGGAAAAATGGCTCGACTGATAGTGAGGGAAGGAAAGTCGACACATTTGTGCAGTGAAGAACATGCCTGTACACACAAACACACATTTTTAGAGCAACTATGATTGTTACACTGCGGTGTGTGCAATCTTTTAACTGCAGGTCCAGTGTAATGTAATACTCAGGGTAAAGACTGTTATTAAGTAATGCAGACAGCAATGCCAAATAGATTTTGTTCTTTAGGAGAAGGTTTAAAATGGGATTCTAGATTATAATAGTTGTTTTCAAATGCTGCAAAACATTAAAAGCTGAGCAATAGAAGTTGTTTTAGAGATATTTTATTGTAACAGTACGTATATTTAACTTTTACTTTGCTGTTTGAGGATCTATTGTTGAAATTTCTCAGACACTAAGACTTGGTTGTGTGTGCCAGATGTTCATAAAACAAAGGTAAAAAATAAAAATTCCCTTTGTTTAAAAATCTGTCCGCACTGATATGCAAACACATTCTGTTTTAGATTGTTTGGGTTCGATTATGTTGAATTTAGCACATTTTTAGCTCCAGGATTGATAACTGATTAACTTTATTCCTTCTGCAACCCCTGGGTGAAAATGAGCCCGAGGCCTCAGCTGTCATTTTGACCCAAGGGCAGCAGGAGGTTATCAAAACAAATTGGGCTCTGAGCTGCAGGGGCGATTCTAGAATCTGACCTTTAGGGGTGCTTAGCCACCAGAGCTGACAATGACTCTTGGCTTGAACAACATGGTGGCCATTGACATCAGAAGCATTTGTAATGTGAGGCGGACACACTGGTGGTGGGGTCAGGGGGTCCTCCCCTATAAAAGTTTGAATAAAGTAGATGCCATTTCCTGCATTCTGGTGCATTTTAATGGGTTATTTAACATCTAGTTTTACCTACACAAGTAACACTTGTTTCAACAACTACGGGATTTTAGAGTTAATGGCACAACAAGAATTAGCCTGACCAACAGCTCTCCTTGTGTGAATAGAGCACGCTCCGCTTCTCTCAAACATCCTAACACCCCCACACACTCCACCCCCGGTCGACAACTGCCAACAACAGTATTGCAGCGAACAATACAAATGCGCTAATAAGATGCTACAGACGTAGTGCTCCACTTCTCTCACACATCCTACTCCCCCCC